GAGACCTACAGACCAGCAAAACACTATCTCTCACATTGATAATGATGCAATAGATCATGCAACCAAGACGATCACAAGAGAAAATCTATTGTTTTCACAATGCCGGGCCAGAAGTATCATGTGTGTAGCCTGATTAACTGCCTGTCACTCATCTGCACACACAGCTGACTCTTCATCCCTTTGAGAGGTGATTTTCCTGGTAGCTCCTGGGACAGGGGATTTGAGCTCTAGCATATCCTGTTGCTTTTGCTTGCTTTATCTCATCAGTTGTCTCTGTTGGCATCAGGCCCATGCTGAGTGAGACCAAGGTCTGCTTGGCTTGCAGCCAGTAGTAGGACAGTGTGGTGTGACCCTTCCACTAGAACTGAGCAGAACCCATCAGGGCACTGTCACTGAGGGTTTGGGCACATGCCAAGCTGAAAAACAAACCCAAAATGGCTTCTTTGTACAAAAGAGGAGATATATTAATTTTGTCTTCTAGTTTTTTAGCTTGCTTCACTGATCTGAGATGCTAGATTGTCAGCACAATACTATATTGTACTGGGTTTACACACTGGGAAATTTTATCAAGAAAGGGACAAGAGGAACTACTGGATTCATGGTATAGCAACAGGTACTGAGGAGAGTTAGCTGCCAAGGGCTTTTACACACTTGTGTAAAAAGACAAGGCACACATGTGTGACAATCAGTTCATGCATGTTTGCACGGCGACCACTTAATTAAATAAAATCAAGAATATAGCCTACTTTCATAGTGTACATTTTTCTGAATTATCTATATTAAGGATTTAAAAAGAAACATTTCTGAGAATTTGTCTTATAACTAAATCTGACCTGCAGAATGGTATAGGTTCTTTTATGATTCAAAATACAAATGCCTTTTTTTTTGACAGCATATCACTATGTAGCATTGGCTAGTCAGGAACATGTTGCATAGACAGCCTAGCCTCAAATTCAGAGATCCACTTGCCTCTGCCTCTGGAGTGTGGGGATTAAAGGAGTGTGCTACCATGGACTAAAGCTAAATATAAGGGCGGGTACAAATGTATATGTAATGTACAAATGCAAATGTACAGAACAAAGCAGGGCCATCATTAAACGAACTGCTGTGAAGTCACTGCTTTGCTTCCTGGGCAGTATCTGGCTCCTCTGGAGTGGAAGGTCTGTGGTGCAGATACGAATCCTTTGATTTTATATAGGCCCTACCTTGCTCTGAGGTAAAGAATCATGCATTTTTATTGTAATACATGAAATTCATTTCCTGGGACCTTAAGGAATTATATATTGCAGAGTTGGGGCTCAGACTCAGTATTGTGTGCATGCTAGCATGCTTTCTACGGGTAAACGATATCCCTACATCTTGTTTTTGTTTAGAGACAGGGCTGTTGGGATTACAGGTGTCTCACACCAGCACCCAGTTTGACCATTACTTGTAAACGGTGTTACTAAGTGTAAGCAGGACCGGACTTCACCTTAGACCTCACTGTATTTTTCTGGAATATTTTGCACAGACAATTATTTTATTTTTTATGGGACACAAGTATCACAAAATTTAGCAGGGTTCATCTCTATCTTTGACATCTGTACATCCCTGTCTGTAGACAAAAATGTTTTCTGCTGCTTCTTAAAGTTTTCATTGTGTATTTTCTCCAAACCACTAACTATTCCTTAAAAGACCAAGTCTGTGGGGGGTGGGAGTGGTGTAGCTGGAGCCAAGCACCTGTTCAGCATATAGGACATCTCAGACCAAAAGTGCAAGGCATTGTCCTAACTTTGGGGCAGTAGAGATCCCAGGGTCACACAGTATCTTGACTACTATGAAGCTATATGTCTAGAACTCTCTGGATGCTTCTAGGACATTTTTGCAATTTCCAGGCAGAAGGTAGCCTGATGTTCTTGAGTTCGGGAAGACAATCACGCTTCTTCCTATAGAGGCCTTGGGATATCTGCATTATTCATCCTGCTGCAACTTGGTAACAGTGATGAGTTAGGGCCCTGGGTCCTGCCTTAGTTCCTGTAGGCTCCTTGACTCTGGTTTCCCCAAATGGTGGTCCTCATTCTCAATTCAGGCACTACAGTACATGCTCAGGGAAATCACTGCTTAGTACAACCCCAAGAAGGTAGACTGGCCCTAGAGTCATGCTCTCCCTGCAGGTATCACTACATACTATAGCTCTCTCCCTTGCAGAGAGCATGGAGTCCACATAGCCTTGCCTGCATCCCTGTTTATCTCATATTCTGGAGTCACTCTGTTTCCATTCTCTGGAACTTCACCTCTGTTTCACTTCTACCAGTCTGAAACTGCAAGATAGTTTCTACTTTTGACTATTCAACAATATACTGAAATGGACAAAATATACTAAATAGTTTTCCAAACAAGAACAGTTTTCAGCATACATCTCAATTAAGTTTGACATTGATTTTTGGCACTTCAAAATAGTTTTATATGTATTTAGCTTGTGGTGAAAATTAAAACAAAACAAAACCAAAAAACCCTCCAAATTCCCAAAACTATGAGACTTAAGTCTGAAGAGTCGTTGTGAACATCAGCATCCCACTGCATTTTAACTTTTGAAAGATTCAGCACAACATTCTTCAAGAAAATACTTAGAAAAAATGGGAGCAATGAATCATAAACAATTTTATAATGACTGATGGCAAAAACCATAAAATTCTATGAATGGTGTCATCCTATTCAATGTTGAAAGGTTGAAGTATATGTTGAAGGGTGTGGTTTCCGTACAGTGTGAGGCCTGCAAAGTCTCCTCCCTGGGGCTTCCCCAGACAGCTCACACCTTGAGAGAAGGACTGTGATTGGGTGAGTCCCACAGAGTTCCTTCTCTTCCAGCTGCTCATTTCTTGGAACCCAATCAACACGGATCCCCTCTGTCATCTGAGAGCTTGAACTTTATGAGAGGCATCAGGGAAGAGCTAGGATGGTTCTCTGTCAAGTCAGGGTCTTAGAAAGTGACAAACTAATGTCAGACTAGAGGCTCTGACAAGGGTGTAGTTGCTCAGACCTTGGGGTGAAGCTGGATATGGGAATGGATGCAATGTCAGTCTAAGTTGTCTCTGGTTAAGACTGAAGTTATTATAGACTTGGTTGTTTCCTGAAAGTGCCTTTCAGAATTATATGGTCCATCTAGGTGGTCCAGCCTTTTAGGGGCTTCCCAGTACGAGCCTATGGTGGTGGGAGATTTTTTCCTATGGGCCCTTAAACTGTGGCTGATATTTCCAGGGGAAAGCAGTGTTGGTCCAGTGGTTACAGAGCCCAGCTGAAGACAGAGAGAACACATTGTATTTTCGTAAGTTCCTGTTTAAGTTGGCTCAAGGTGAGAATGTGCAGAACTGTATGTTCTGGCTCCCTGCTGTCCTAGCATGACACTAAAGGATGAGAGCTGGTAAGCAGCTAGTACAATGGCAGCATTTAAATATTTAGTGAACATCAATGAGATGCCCTTTGCACCCCCATGGTGGTGGGGAGTATTAAGTGGCTGGGTTGAGTATCACAGGGCAGTGCTTCAATCCACACAGGAAGGAGATCAGAGACACAAAGTTCTAACTTGTCACAGAGGAAAAAGTAGAACTGGGGAGCATGTCTCAGAGTGGAAAGGCTATGCTCCAGGCAGCGAATGTGGTCCTTACAGAGGCACAGGCATGCAGGGCCAGGTGTGGGAAATATCTGAGAAGTTCTTGCATAGCTACTATTCACAACTACAGATTTCCGATACTGAGTCCTTCCAGGAAAATTCCCAAACAAGATGTAAAGGTCATTCCTATTAATCCTTGCTCTAAGGAAAATATTTTCTTTAACTTTACTTGAAGTAAAACTATTTCCCAAATAGTTTAGAAAATGCTGTACTAGAATCTAAACAAACATATTGTTATGCTATCTCAGATTCAACATTTGGTTACAGAGGGGGCCGTAGGCCCTGTCTCTCTTTAGCAGACACTTCCATGGGTCAGTCAGGTGACGGGTTGGCAGAACTCTCACCAATTGATGCATAATTGCAATGTCCAGGAATAGCTGGCCATGTGATGTCAGTGTCCAGAGAAAGACACTGGAAGTGTGCCTGCTAAATGGAGACTTCCATGTCTGAGGGAAGGTGGACATGACTGTGCAGGGTTGAGAGCCTCAGTGTCCATTGGATGGGTACAACGTCTGGAAACACAGCCTTCTCCAGTGCACACTTCCCAGCTGCTAGCAGCTCCACCATCCTTTCTAGAGGACTGTGTGTGAGGGATTTTATATCCCAGGGACCTCAGGAATGGAGTGAAGGCTGTTCTCACCACTGGCCTGAGGAAAACTGCCTTCAGGCCTTTGCTGCACAGCAGGCAAACCTCCTTACAGGTGTCACCAGCACAGAGCATTTCATGTTGAGGAGAGAGACCTCCTTCTCATGCAGTGTTCTCAACTTCCCAACATTGTGTCCCAAGACTAAACTTCTGATATAATCCAGTTGTAGCATGTGAATTCTTATCTCCACTTCCCATGGTTGAGATAGACAATAACCAGGCCTTCTGAAACCTGCTGTCAAACACATACTGCATCTCATGCCTCCTATGTCAACTTCTCTTCTTACCCACCTTTTCCTGTCCTGGGCATTCCACCACCTGCATGGCAGCCTCCTTCCCCAGCCCCAAAGAGGCATTTGCCACTCAATGCAGAAGCATCTATCAGTACCTGTCTAGGAACTGGGTCATCAGAGTGTACTGGATGGCTTGTTCTTTACTTTGAATGTTCCTATCCTGGCTGAACTGGAAGACATAAGGTAAATTTCTTAACTTCTACTGTTTCAGCCATGAAACTCCTGCAGGAAAATTCTGCAGAATTGCTAATGGTTTTACCATACACTGTAAATCTGTCTATCTGTCTATCTATCTATCTATCTATCTATCTATCTATCTATCTATCTATCTATCCATCCATCTACCAATGCAATGTTGATATTGTATTGAAGAAGGGGATAACTGCATGCAGTTGTGAGTGTGTAGCATCACCTGATCCTGGGATTTCTTTTTCTTCTTCTTCTTGCCCCAGCACCCAGAACTCTCTGCATCCTTGCCATTGGCCTCCCCACAGAGCAGTCCGTCCAGCTCGTCTGTGCCCATGTGCTGTCCCTGAGACGTTTCTGCTGCTAGCCGGTATGAGAGGTTCCTCAAGATGCACACACAGTTTTCAACGGTCTGCAGCATCCCCAAAAGAAAGAGAGAAATGGAGCAATGAGCATAAACGAATCAGCAGATGGTGAATCAGCAGATGGCTCTACCCTGGACAGGCAGTCTAGTCTCCACAGATACATTGTCCTCAGATTCACTTAGCTCCCCTCACAGCTGCAGCAGAAAGAATTTGAGCAAGCATAGAAGGTCCTATGATCATTTCTCACTAGAGAGATAATAATCATCAACACTAGATACTTCAACAAACACCAGTCATGGGTCATTGAAATGAACTTGTAAGAATCGGACACATTTGTAACTACAAGATCACAAGCTATGAATAGGCTACTCCTGCCTGGATTTTAATGTGCCTGAGTCATTACAATCACCGGTAGTGAACGTGGTTTGACTCTGGTTGGGATGTTGTAGCACACCACTTACCAAGAAATATACAGTTCAGTAATGCCAGAGACCATACAAGGGAGGCTCTGAATATGGGACATACAACATTTTGTCTTGGCTTTGATGAGTGTCCTAGCTCTGCCCAATGGCTGTGAGGCTTTGGACACAGTAACTAAACCTTCTGTACCTCTGTTTCTTCATTGGTAAAACAGTAATGATAAAAGCACCAGCTTCACAGGGCTGTGGAGGAGACAGGGTATGGCTATAGACAGGGCACCGTTTGTCACTGTCACCAGTGCTTTGTGGAGGTGATGCGGAACAGGTTCCAGACTTTAAGAGAAAGGCTCAGTAAAGTGCATCCTGAAAGCCAGGGCCAACCTGAGGCTTGTTTTAGAATAATGCTCTCACAAACCCAGCATGCCCACGTGTTGATGACCACTCCCAGCTGTTATTGAGTGTTGTGACAGAGGCTGTGTGACCCACAGAGCTCAAAGCCTTTGTCCTTTGACCTTCTGTAGAAAGTGCTTCCCTATAAGAAAACTGACTTTATGTATATGTGTGTGTCAACATATTTGTGTCTCTGTGTGTATGCCTTCTGTGTCTATGTGTCTGTGTGTGTGTCTATATATTTGTGTCTGTGTGTGTCTATGTGTACCACAGCACACACATGTATGCCAGAAGACGATGTTCTGGAGAAGCTTCTGGGATCTGTGGATCAAAGTCCTGCCTCCATCCTTCTGCAGCAGGCATGCTTACTAGCTCAGTTATATCACAGGGCCCCAAAACTGACCTTTGAAGTTTTGTTCTGGACTTAAGAATTGGGTCAGTGGAGACAGTGGAATAAAATTCTCATCTTAAGAAAGAGAAAACAAAAAGGGGAATAAAAAAAGACCCAAATTTTATTTTGAAAACCCTTGCAGCTTGGCCATGTTTAAGAAAGTCACTACAAAGCTGTTGAAGGCTGGAAACAGTTTCATGTTGTAGAGGGCGGAGTATGGGTGAGCCAAATTGTGGGTAACACACTGCTGAAAGCTATTCCCTTCTGGTCGGGGGTCAGTGTTAGAACAGGCAGAGGCCAAGGGACTGCTTCCCTCATGGACTTGAGGTCAGTAAAGGGCAGCCCATGCTCTTTACCTGATTAGGGGTGTCGGTGTGACTGTCAGTCAGGAAAAGCAGTCCTCTGGACACACTCTGGGACCAATGCCATCCTTGGCTATTATTTGTCAGCTTGCCAAGGTTTCATGGCTGCTAATCCCACAGGCTTTGAGCCAATTTGATTTTCAGTTTCAAGCATCCTTTCCACATCAGGAAGGAAGCTGGCATGAAAGCAGGTAAGGACTGGACGACGCATAAAGACAGACACGTCTCTCCTTGAAAGGAAAATGTTATGGCACAAGTCAGGACAATTTTTAAATCATCTCAAACTGATTTCTTTTTCCTCAAGGACTGGGGATAATACGCTTCATTCTCAACTGGTTGTTTATTTCCCCTGGGGCCTCACTGTCCCTCTATCAGGAAGAGGAGACTAAATCTGCAGTTTTCAAGAAGCGTTTTATATAATTACTCTGCATCTAGGGAGGTGGTGTGGGGAGAAGCTGGAGAGACACAAAGAGGGAACTCAGGAGGGTGGGAAGGAGAGGGTTCAGAGAGCAAAGCCTTGCCTCTTATAAGGCTTCCTGGAGCTGGATAATCTGGCTGGCGTTAGGTAGGTTCCCATCTGAAGACTGTTCTTCTAAAGGGAATGTGGAAAAGAAGAGAACAAAGACCGGGGACACCAGCAGAAGGCGTGTGGCGTCTGGTGGCTCTGTGTGTGACATCCATTACTGTCAACAGCATTTTTTAGTGCTCTTCTTGGTCACCAGGGTCATCTTGACTCCTTATTTTCTATTAGAACGGGCTAATTTGGAAGTCATCTGTGGAGTGCTGTGCCATATGTTATCCACTCAATAAACCGTCCCAATTACAGGAGCAGAGCCACGAGCTTGCATGGAATCCAGACTCCTGATCATTAACTTCTCTGGCCTTAAAGAGAATGTACGCTCGTGGTTCCCTCTCCAACTTGTCATGGTGAAAGCTCAGAAGCAGCCAAGCCGAGGGCTGAGTGGAAAATTACGGTGCAATAATAATACGTTAAAAGTCAATGGTACAATCCAGCCAGCAAAGCTCGGTGGAGTAATTCATCACAATGGGGTCCTTCAATACTCAGGGCATGTGGTTATGACAATCACAAGTTGTGGTTATGTCACAAGTTGGGGGCATTTGAGTCCGGTGTCCTAGTGGGTAGGGGATGGAGAGGGCACTGGACCCTGTTCTGACGTCCAGGATGGCACACTCCCTATTCATCAGGGACACGGCAGAGCTTGTCAGTCTAGGTTGTCGAATCCCTCCACTTCAACTTTCTCTTTGGGGAAATAAGACATAGCTATGAAAACAGATCATCTCCCAGCTATCCCGGGAGTATTAGGAGTCTGACCAGTCAAACAGTCAGACAACAATGCATCTGCCACAGAGCATGTTGGTGCCTAAGCCACATGTCTTCAGAGATGGGAGCCAGGGAGCTTGGTGGGGACATGAGGCAGTAGCTTTTATTTTTATTCACCTACAAGGTCCAGAGAGTGGGAAAGCTGTTTGGTGTCCATCAGACTAACAGGCTTAGTATTTCCACGCCTCAGCCTTTTGCTGAGTGAATATTAACATGCTCAGCATTGCTGTGACAGCGAGCTATTTACATGAGCTCTTTCATAACTCACGTGCCTATTACACTAACGGGCCCCTGTAGATACTCAAGGTTTCTTGACTGGCCACAATTATAGGGATTTAGTTTTCTTGTCAATGGTACTAATAGGTCTCCTATGATTACTAAAGGGCCTTTACAGAAGAGGGATGCTTCAGTCTTTATTATATCACATCCCATATTTGAAATTAGTAGTACTTGGTCCATGACTAGCCACAGGCCTAGTGAGCATCAGGAATGGGAGAAAAACTGGTGTTCACAACTGGACCAAGCCAATGTTCACAGGACCATATTCTCAAATAATACCCTGAACCTAAATCTTCATGGCAACAGGCTCTTTCTTGGTAAGTGTTGTGTAGAGTCAAGATTAAGAAGGGCTAGGCTAATTCACCCATAAAGGTGATCCATGGGTAAGCCTATCACATTGTTATTTAAAATTTATTTTTATTTTACACACATGATTGTTGTGCTTGCTGGTAACCATATGTACCATGTATGTGCCTGGAGCTGACAGACGCCAGAAGGGGCACTGGATCCCTTGGAACTGGAGTGATAGACAGTTATGAGGTGCAGTGTGAGATCTGTAAACTGAACCAAGGTCCTCTTCAAGAGCAGTAAGTGCTCTTAACTGCTGAGCCACTTCTCCAGCCCCTAAATTCTTGTTTCTTTATTGTTCTCTCTCTCTCTCTCTCTCTCTCTCTCTCTCTCTCTCTCTCTCTCTGTGTGTGTGTGTGTGTGTGTGAGAGAGAGAGAGAGAGAGAAAGAGAGAGAGAGAGAGAACAAGAGAGACAGAGAGACAGAGAGAGAGAGAGAGAGAGAGAGAGAGAGAGAGAGAGAGAGAGAGA